ATATACTGTAGATGGTAAAATTTTATTTTATTACAAATATTTCAAATATTTTCTTTTGTTAATAAAATACATTACTTTTTCTATATCTCACAATACTGCAATATATATGGTCCTTTGTTATAGTCTCTATAATGCTGAAAACAAGAAGATTTTTCTTTATCTTGTCAAATGTCTTACAAAAAAAAAGTCTAGCGGGGGCCACGCAAAACCCCACATATTCTCGTATTTTTCAACATCAGCCTAGATTACTTTGGTATGCGTCGAAGATTCCCTTCTACCATTCTTCATTCTTAAAAATCATAATTCTACATTCTCTGACTCTATCATCTATGTTTTCCATGAAATCCATTGTCAGTAAGCCTGATAAGTTTGTCCACACAGACTTATTCACTGCTGTACCATGTCTTTCTCGATTCTTTTTCTCAGGGGATATTTTTCATAGTGTCCAATGGCTTGCAAAGATAAGAATGACTGCAGGAAATGCAATATACATGAGTTGAGAGGCAGTAACACGCAGTGAAAACTTTTTTTTCTTACTTGCCAGTTATCTGCTTGTTTCTATTCTTTATGGTGTCCGGTACTGTCATTTCCTCAACTCACTTTTCGGATTTATTCCTGCGTTTATTTTTCACTCTGGCTCCTCCGCTGAGGAGAAATTTATTCTTGCATAGAAGAGACATCCGAAATAGGATACTGTATCGAAATTTACGACGCTTGTTCGTTTAGGGAGATACTGATAGCTAGTGGAAGATTTATGGTTAATAGTCGGAGAGAGAATACAAACCGTTTCGTTATACCCAACGATTATCGACCGATTTGTTATTGCAACTCGATTTAACATACTTTGCAAGTCTTAGCTCAATTTTGGGAATAGACGTATTGAAAGAAATTCAGTAATGTAAAAATGGGATATACATAAATGCATATTACATATCATAAAACAATATACAATATTTTTTGAATTACATGGAATCTTTTTAGATATTCCCTATGCTCTGAATATTTCAATTTCTTAAATAAATTACACTTGAGATCATAATATAGCGTTCATTTGATATGCATTCAAGTGTAATTTTTATACAGTAAATTAAATTACATATTTTAAAATAATCAATAATGTTTAAAAATTATAAGCAAATTATGCACTTTATAACAATTACAATACATTTAAATGACTTTAATACAGATAAAATAGCAAAATATGATAAAAAATGACGAAGAAGAATATACGAAAATAATGTAAATGGATGCATATTTTTATATTAATTGAACAATACTTAGTGAGAGAGTGTTGATTTTATTGGCGCAAGAGCCAAGTTTGGCTATACTGCGCCACACAATCGTTAATGTAGTAAAATATTAATAATATATGTAAATATATATTTATTGTGCGTATTTAAAAATGTATTTTAAATTGTCAGATTAAAAATAATATAAAATTGTGAGCAAAGTATTTAAAAATGCAGAAGTGTAAACTTTTATAGATATCTTATTTTTAAAAAGTCTAATGGTACAGTAAAATCCTTAAAAAAATTATATCTCATGTAAAACATCAATTGAGCGTAAAAATGCAAAAGGTTTGGATGGGGAGCCTCCCCAACCAAATCAGTCAAAGTTAAAAGATTGGTTTTAAAATAGATGTTTTTTTAGATGAATTCTTTGGACATTCTATTAAAATGTGTAAAATGGAAAGGTCACATTGACAAAAGTCGCATACTGGGGGACTCTCTCCTAGCAGGAAATGCCTATGCGTTAGACGAGTGTGTCCGATACGAATTCGAGTCAAGCGGACAATATGTCTTCATACTGGTACCGCTGCCCTAAACAATACTTAGAAAAATTATATTAAGTAGGTTAGTACAGTTTACTAGTAAAATAAAAAAAAAATTCCAATCAAGTTTTTATCCGAAGTCCGATCAAGTCCAAAACCTGAAAAGTTTTTGAACTTAGCTATTTACGATTAGACGTCGAACTAACAATTACCATATGACTGACTAGGATTACACCTATGATACCCCTTATAAGAAAAAGAACGTATGGCACCTATCCCATCTTATGACACCTAAGGCTCATCAGTAATACTTGCTGCTTATTTTCATACAATTTAGTAATAAAGAAATGGTTTATGTAACTCAAGTGATTTACTTAAGCTTGTTATTGTCCTAAATTTAACGTCTAATTAAAGTTAAATTACACTTCCACTGTTCCATAACAGTAGCAGCTAATGAACTTAATTAATTCCATCATAATAGTTGGAAAAGAAACCTAGAGCGAAATATTTACTATAAAAAAACTAGATAAAAATAAATATTATATAAATCAAACTATTACTCATATTTTTGACTTTTTGGGCAGTTTTTGAATTGCTTAATAATTTCGTTATTACCCATTAAACTTGTAAATAGAATTCCTTGGATGCGAAGCTTTGATTTCTCAATGTATGCTACCTTTTCTGTAAGAAATTATTTGACTGTGCTTCAAACACTTTTCGTGGTTTTCCTTTTTCCCAAAATTCAAAATAATGTAAATTTGGGAAATTCAATGGCATGAGTTGCTTATCTAATGGTGTCTTATCTTTTAAGATGAATACATTCAAGTTCTCCTCCATAATCTTTTCATTTACGTCCACATTTTTTTTTCAGAATCACTAGTGGCATAATATTTATCTAGATAATTATTTTCAGAAGCACGTTCCCTAATTTTTAAAATTTCAAACTGTTGAAAGAAATGCAATGGCAGCTTTCTGCAACTTTTCATTTTCATACGTCAAAGAAATACACAATAGCAACCCCATATGTCCTTGAAAAAACTCTTATTTTTTCTCATCTTTCTTTTACCATATGTTGATATTCAAATGGACTTAATCAGTTGATTTCAAAAAGTGAACGAAATCAGAAGATTGAACATTGATTTTGAGTGAAGGCTTGTCAATTTTCAATTTAGAAATGATTTCCGTCTGTGTGTGTGAATACCATTTGTTAATATTATTATTACGGAGCAGGGAGAGTACCACTTTTCATTATTCTTAGATTATTTTTAGCGAAATCGAGTCGCAAAACTTAACTTAGCAATAAAAATTGAACTCAAATGAAACTTGAAGCATAAAAATATTATAAAAAGTAAATACAGTCGGATCTCTTTGTAACGAAGTCGCTAAATCCTGGAAAAAATTTCGTTATATGGAAAATTCGTTATATAAAGGTTCATCTTTTAGTATACTTTATAAACCACATAAAACTAATTTTAAGTTCATAAACACTATATATTAAAAAAGTAATTATTCACACCTTTTTTTAAAAATTAATACATGTTTATTTCATATATCTTACTCATAAAAAAATAAAAGAAAGAAAGATAAGCTACAAGGAGAACAAGAAAAAAGTATGTCGAAGAATTCACTGTATTTTCAATATTAAGAAAATAATTTTATACTAAAAACAATGGATTTTAAGGACATTTTATAATTTAAAGCATACAAGTAATATTAAACATACATTATTTCATAATTAAAGCACGGGAGAACTCCACTGGGGGAAAGAGGATATCGAAGACGTTTCTAGTGAACTGGGCAATGGGGTTAAATTTTGCACTTCTTTGATGAAATGTCCAGAACTCTATTGCTTTCGGTGAGTTAGGATCTAACAAAACCAGTTCAAGATGTATGACTACTATAAAATGTTTTAAAGAGAGGAAAACTTGAAATTTTTTCAGAAGTACTTTCAAAAAAGGGATAACAAAAATTGAATCTCAAAAGAAAAAGTTCGTTATATAGAAAATGCACTTCGCTATAGAGAGGTTATTTTACGAAGAAAATCGTGAAATGTTCAATGTTTCAAGAAAAAGTCCGCTATGTAGAAAAATTCGCAATATAGTTCGTTATATAGAGGTTAGACTGAAAATAAATAAATAGGAGTAAAGCTATTTACTTGCTCACTCATCACGAAATCTCTAGAACCATTACAACACTAGACTTAAAAGTTTTCAGACATGTTTCTTTTGTTTAATACAGATTCGCTAAGAACGGATTTTGCGAAAACTGACCCCTAAGGGAAGATTTCAAGGGCGTTATACTCAAACCTCCGGTAACTGAACTATTAGACAAACAGACTTGAAATTTATGAAACCTGTTTATTTTGTTGATTAGAGATCCGATAAAAAGTATTACGAAAATCGAAACCCAAGCGGGGGTTGAAGGATGGGAAGGGGCTAAAAGATAACAAAGATTCTTTCTTTTCCTCTGTTTTAGGAGAAAAGTAATTCGTTCATTACGAGATCTCTAGATTTATTAGACTTACAGACTTGAAATTTGGCTGGCATGTTACTTTTGAGTAGAGATCCGCTAAGAACGGGTGTTGTAGATATCGTCTCCCACAGTGGCGAAATATTTCCTATTTAGAAATTTGCTTTAAATAATTGTGCATTGATTCAAGATAAATCTGGGAAGTACAGGGTTATTTAGTTATATCTATCTATTTATTTCACTGAACGTTCTTTTCCTAAAGTTTAGTTTGCAATCTACTTTAAGTTATTCAAAATATAATTTAAATTTTTGCATTAAAATTCATTTATTATCCTATCGAGATAGGGAAATTTTTCAATTAACCCGGCCGAAGTACGGTTATACCTGCTAATAATACAATAAGTTATAGAACAGTTAAAATAAATCGATGAATATGTCATTGTTACTATAGTGTAAAAACTCAAATGAACAAGTAATATAAAAAAAAAAGTCAATATCGACTTAGGTCAACAAAGAAAAATTTTATTTTAGTTACATTTTATTCAATAATTACAATTAATATAAATATGCGTATACATATGACATAATCACAATATTAAGTGGCAAAATAGAAAGCGAATTTCTTAGCAATTTTCCATTTTCCTTTCGATATAAGGTATTGGACTATTATTTTCATTTGTTACTATTTATTCATAAATTAAATTTCATTATTCGAATAAAATAGTATAGCAAAAAGAAATCACATTCTCAGAAATTAGGCCATCCCAGGTGGGGTTCGAACCCACGAACTTTGGATTAGGAGTCCAAGGTGCTGTCCATTACAATACCAGGACAAAACGAGCAATTTTACTTTTTATAAATGGTGTAACTTCTTATCTATTAATTAAATGGAGTTAATGAATTAATATTTGAAAAGGTGTATTAACATCAAGTGTCATCCACTACAAGTTTAAAAAAGTGCATTTGAACTTAAGTGGATGAATAAAATATTTAGGATTGAAGATATGAACAAGATAATATATATATATATATATATATATATATATATATATGTGTGTGTGTGTGTAGGGAGAGGGGAACAAATAGTAGGAATTGAAAAAAGCCAGTATGAATGATACAAACCACTGCATTTAAAAGTATTGTATAACGTAACAAAAATGGAATTTGAAAACTTCAGCAGTTTAACAACTGACAACCATCTTAATCTTGCCCAATTAATGAATATTCTGAAGCACACTTTCCAACTCCGTACCAATCTATCACATTAAATAATTTTTCTTCTCTTCTACTACTTCAATACTGGCTCAATTTCGAATCCTCTCGTAGCGCTTGTACCTCGAAGCCTTCATTTACATAAGAATATATGTTGAGTGCCAAGTTTAGTAGAAATATAGCTCAGAGTGAATTCCAAATGAGTCGAGGAATCAATCGGATGTCAATTCTGAGCAGAGGAGCAGCATTCAATTCATAGTCGTCTCGCACCAGAGGTTTGCATGTGAATTGAGTCAAGAAATTCGATAAATGAGCAACGAGTGTGATGTTTCTATCTGTTACCTGCAGAATAGGAAAGAATTAAAAAAAATCAACTAGAAAATCTGTTTTAGGCAGCAATGGTGTAATAGCGCTTTTTAGTAACATGTGTTAGGGGTAACTGTGTTTCCTTGGGTTGAGTTGAGTTTGGTGTTTTATGGCGCAAGAGCCAGTTTTGGCTATACTGCACCAAACATTCATAGGTCTGTAGTCTGGACGGGAAAAGAAGAAATTGGATGAGAAGATGGAGCGTCGAAAATAGAGAAGGATCACTGGGGTACCCCGGGGTCATGACACCCGTGTTTACCAAAGATAGTAAACCCCTTGGGAAAAGGAAAAGATCACTAGGGTACCTCGGGATTATGACACCCGTACCTACCTAAAGAAGGTGAGCCCCCTGAGGGGGTGTTTCCATGGAATGGTCGCCCCGCCACGTCCATTAGTACGGAAGAGTTGGATGGAAAAGATTAGCCATATTCAAAATAACTTCTATTTATTTACAACTCTGAACAACAACACAAATTCTATTAAACACAAGTTAAGAGATACACTCAAATACTAAATATGGAAAGCAATAGCGAGGTAGACGAGATACGAGAAGTCTTAATAAATTGGATCACTTACGTCCAAGCAATATACACTCATTGACAAAAAAAAATTAGCACACCAATGAAACGAAATTTTACATACGTTATGACTACTTTGATATAAGTAAATGATTAGAAAATCAAAGGAAAAGGATCATTTATTTCAGAGAAAAAGACAACGAACAGAGGATTTAAAGCCCTGTTGAACCCCCTCTAGCGCACATTCATGATGCGATACGATCGGGCATTGATGCATACAAGTTATGTATGATGTCTTGAAACATTTTGCTCCATATTTGCTGTAACCTTGCCTCTAGTTCGTTGAAACTCGTGGGATGCCCAACTCGCCGTCCCAAATGATCCAAGGTATGCTTTATTGGAGACAAATCAGGGGATCGGGAAAGGTAAGGAAGGGTAGTAACATTGCTGAGACAGTCTTGTGACACCTTTGCTGTGTGAGGCCGAGCATTGTCTTGTTGAAAAATGGCTCCTGGGAGCCGTTACATTAGGGACAACACATGTGGTTGCAGGATGTCATGGACATACCAATGGGCTGTCATGGTGTCACGTATCAATACTAGGGGTAACCGTGTATTGTAGGCAATGGCACCTCATACCATCACACCAGCTGTGGGAGCGGTGTGTCGCTGTAAAGCAAAGGCAGGATTGAGGCGTTCACCACGGTGTCTCCACACACGAACACGTTTGTTATCACTGCTGAGATTGAATCTGGATTCGTCGCTAAAGACAACCTGGTTCCATTTCGCTGCAGTCCAGTTTCCTCGTGCGCGGCGCCACTCCAAACAGAGGCGTCGATGGGTGGGCGTCAAGGGCATCACACGTAATGGGCCCCACGATCCCAAATGTCCTTCAGCCGGGCGCCTTCCTATTGTTCGAGAAGACACAGGGGCCCCTAATGAAGGTGCTACCTGTGCCTAGATGGCGGCCGATGAAACAGTTGGCTATACGTGTGCATTTCTTACAATGTAGCAGCATTCTAGATGACTAGTCTGTCGAGGGCATCCTAAGCCTGGTCTTCGTGTAATTGATATCTCTCGGATCCACTGGTCACAAAACCTCGTCACAACACAATCATAGCGGCCTAATTGACGTGCTACTCGCCTAGCTGACCACCCAGTTTCCATCATGCCGCGATGATTCTCCCCCTCTCAGACTGAGACAGCTGCTCATATTGTCTTCGAAAATGGCGTAATGTCATGTGTATCTCAGCTCTTCTTTTGTAAGCGATTCAACACACTCAAACAAGCTTTGGTTACCTGTTTTATACTCCACGGAGAATTACGTTAAACGACCTCTACCGGCTTACGTAATGCGAAATCACGCCGCTATTCTAATCATTGCATACCTCCCCGACATTTACCTTCATGCCAAGTTTCGTTACGATTGCGCAATTATTTCTTGGTGCGCTATTTTTTTTATTTTATTTTTTTTTTTTTTTTTGTCCATGAGTGTATCTTGTAATTTCAAGCGGCCTAATCTAATTTAATTAATATCTGACAAATCGTCTATCTTAAATATTTCACTAATCAGCTACGAAGTATTCCCGCCTCCCTTCATATTTAACCAATCACTGTTATCCATTAGCAGTCTAACCTCTTTCTCCTTCTAACTTGAAAGTTCAATCTATAGATACAAGTATTAATTTACATACTCACATCTTTTTCGGGGGAAGGTATATAATACAATAACTTTTAAAGACCCAATATTCCCCAAGACGATTAGTATTTGAGAGAGCGCGGATAGACCCGTCACTTCTTGTTTAGCACAAATAAACTGTTTAATATCTACTGAATCTGGTTATGTTTTTTTCTTTATATCTTGTAACAAGCCAAGTAAGAAATTTTAAGGTGAGAGCAATACATTTAAGAAAATATGAAAATAAAATTGATGCCTATTGGACATTGTTATATAAAATCGTAAGAAATTAGAGAAGTAAAATAAAATGTTGAATACACCCGATTCTTGGGTATACTTTCCTTAGAAATTTATGCAAAAGAAAGATAAGCTTCATGTAGTAAAATTGGGAATACATTCCATGTTATTCAAAAACCACGTAAGATGAAATTAAAAAAAATCCATGTGTTAGTTTAAAAACCATGAAAAAAATTATGAAACCTGAGTGCATACGAATGACATATATACATGCAGTGCTATTGATTATTGTATTGATTATTTATAATATATATATATGTAAAGTTTCGAAAGAGTTCAAGGACTTTTCGTTCCTGAAGACATCTTTCTATAATATCATTGCGAGGAAAACTAACATCAACTGTGTTGATTTTGAGTTGTATTGTATAATTATTTCCATAACTGCTCAAACGTCATTTTTTTAGTTTAGATTTCAAATGGAGAATAAAGTGTAGGAAATAACGGTGTAAGACGAAAAAAAAAAAAAAAGAGGCCATGAGATGGTATTAGAATTTGAAGTTTAAATGATTTTTTTCTGAGAAACCATAAGCTATGTAATTTTATATACGAATATGTGTAAAGTGAGAAAATAAATATTAAAGAGAAAAGAGAATTTTGTTTCGGTAATAAATTAATTATTCTTACATATGCATACGGATATATAGGAGCATTTTACTACATTATAGTAGGAATATTTAATTTTTGAAGTGCAGTTGAAACAGGATTTGTTATGATACATTGTTACAAAAGCCTAAAATTTGAGCAAGACAGCGTATTGACACGTGCATATAAAAGGCAATGACTTAAAAATCATTTTAGACTATATAAGCAAGATTTTTACTTATACTATTTAGCTTAAAATTCTAGTAAAAAGAGTTGGATGTACTTTATAATATCCCTTCGGCTATGTTTTATAGGTTAATTAGCAAACTCTTATGCAGAATCATTTAAATTGTTCTTAGATTTTGCAAAGAATATCGATTCTATCAAAATTCAATCAATATTAAACTATTTACCCAGACACATTATTAACTAACTAGAACCAAAAAAAGGCTGAAGTGTGTTGCTTTCTACATCAGGTTCCTTGAATGAAGAAGAGGGGGTAAAAAAAGTTAAAAAGGACGAAAAAGTAATGGACTACAAAGTAGGGAAACGATTTTGGAAAACAGCGCGAACACGATCGATGATCATTTTCCGCTGCATTTTCTCCTCGCGTTGCGGCATTGTTTTAGTAAATAACCGTTTATTCTTCCCATTTACCAAATCAAGCGGAAAGACTACCGTGCTCAACTGACTGGAAAAAAATTCGGCAAACGGGGACACCTCTTCAAATGATTATGGCGCACTATACAGTCCTTTTTTTTTTTATTTTTATGCTATTTTTTGCTGCCATCCCTTTTTTTCCATCCTGGAAGACCGGATTTTCTTTTCCGGAGTGATGGAAAATAAACCCCTATACGATGGGGGAAAAGTAACTCTGGAAGTAAAAAAAAAAGAAAGAATACAAGTCTTTATTTTGTGTTTGTTGTGAATATCGAGATCCTAACGTTAGCTTTTATCATTAGAAGCAAAAAAGGTTATAGTTTTAGAACATAATGCTCAATTTCTTTACTTTCGTCATTTTTTTTTCCCAAGAAAGAAGTTCGAAGAATGAATCCTTTGCTAGTTTATTTTGTTAAACTATATTATTTTTTTTTTTGGATAAAGAAAATTCCATTATCTTACAAATTCTGATCGAATAAAGATAATTGTGTACAAAATAGGATTAAATATAGAACTTGCTT